CAGTGACCCTGTATAATATTTCCAAGGACGTAAATCTTTTGCAGAAGCAGAAATCCTCATCTTTCTACTGTCAAGTGGTTGATGGGCTTGAACTACTGACCTTGTGTTTTGTAGGCCAGAGTTTATGCTAGAGTCCACCCACCCCTTCCTCTTGGAGCAGCTAATGGATACAAACTGCTGACCCTGAGGTAACCCGTTACACTACAAGAACCCAGTAATATTCCCCTACAATTAAATATATATACTCTGAATTTTTTAATTAAAAAAAAAAAAAAAGATTTTTGGTGAAAGATTACACGTAACATTCTCATTAGATAATTTCCACATAGGTAATGTTGGTGTTGGAGTCTTGGTGTGGTGTTGTGGGCTAATGCGTCAGACTGCAAGTCGTTTGAACTGCAAGGTTGGTGGTTCAAGCTCACCAGCTGCTCCTTGGAAACCCTATACAGGGTCACTATGGGTCGGAATCAACTCAACGGCACTTATTAACAACAATGTTGGTGTTTTTGTTAAGTGCTCTCGAGTTGGTTCTGACTCATAGTGACCCTTGTATGGGGTTCTCGAGGAGGTGAGTCTGAACCAGCGACCTTTTGGCTTGCAGTGCAGTGCTTATCCTACAGCACCACACCAGGACTCCACTATTGTTGCTGTTGTCAAGTGCTATCAAGTCGGTTCTGACCCACAGCAACCCTGCAGCACAGGGTTTCCAAGAAGCAGCTGGTGAGCTTGAACCGCCGACTTTGCACTTCAAATTGACTTTACAGTCCAGCGCTTAACCTATAGTACCACACTAGGACTCCATTACTTAGACTTAATCACTCTATGGCAATATTCTCTTTGTGCTTAGTTTACTCCCTTTCTAGTACTGTAGTTTCCCTGCCCCCATATCTTTCTATCATTGCTTTTGAGTAACTATTGACTTTTGGTCTCATGCTGATGACAAGTAGGTTTCATACTAGTTTTCAAGTAGGGTACACCAAGCTTATTATTTGTTAATAGGTAATCTCAGAGGATAGGATTGGTTCAAGGTTTAAAGAGTATCTCAGGGAGTTCTCCGTTCTCTACTGTTCTAGTTTGTCTGGCTTATTTTCCCCATGGATCCATATGATAAACACTGGATTGCAAAACACAAGGTCTGCAGTTTGAGCCTGCCAGCCACTCCTCTGGAGAAAAAATGTGGCTTTCTGCTCCTGCAAAGGTTTAAGAAGACTCAGAAACCCTAACCAGGATCACTATGCATTGGAACTGAATTGACAGCACTTACCAACAACGAACAATAATAAAAATTTAAGTTCTGCTCCATATTTTCCTCTCAATGTATCTGGGACCAACTATTCTGATCCCAGTCATAATGGTTTGTAATAATAACTAGGCATCACCTTCTTCTGGTCTCAAGGTAAATAGGTTTTGACTGGTGTAGACTTGTTTCTTCTCTGCACTTCTGGTTACCACAAGGTCGGTGGTTCAACCTCACCAGCCGTTCCTTAGAAACCCTATACAGGGTCAGAAGCGATTTAACGGTACTTAACAATAACAATATTAAATATGGTGATGGTTAGAGGAGTTGTGTAGTATAATTGCTCCTTACTAGGAAGACTCCTTTTGAATTGTGGCAAATGCACAGAAATAGTCTTATCACAACATACACACACACACACACACAGGCAAACACACACAATAAAAAACATTTTCTTAATGAAATTTTATTTACTAGCTATATAAGTAAAGTGTAAGTCCTGGTGTGACACTGTGGGTTAATGTGCTGGACTGCAAGGTCAGCGGTTCAAGCTCACCAGCTACTCCTCGGAAATCTTATACAGGGTTGCTATGGGTCAGAACTGACTCGACGGCACTTAACCACAACAACAAATATAAGTAAAGTTATACTGGGTTTAGTAAAACTGTTAGCAAATGCTTCAAAAGCGATCCTTGATAAGTCAAGCATTCAGATGATTACAATAAACACTTAGAGATAAAGTATGACTGTGGCATGGTAGGGATTTAGTTGCAATTCAATTAACAAAAACCATAAGGCTCAATTTCTATATACTAGATAGATAGCACATATAACTTCTAATTTTAAATGTTTTGAGTATTTAATTTCTCATTTTTCAAAAACATAGGAGGAAATATCTCCTACTATCAAGCGTAGTGGCTACGAATCGGGCTGCGAACAGCAAGGTCAGCAGTTCGAAACTACCAGCTGCTCCACGGGAGAAAGATGTGGCGTTCTGCTCCCGTAAAGATCAACAGCTTTGGAAACCCTGTGTAGGGTCGCTATGAGTCGGAACCGACTCCACGGCACATAACAACAACAACATCATGGTAACAGCTTCCTTTTGATTGCTAGAATGTTAATACCATTCATGCGCATAAAGAATTTCAAGAAATAAGAAAAAAATTATAACCACTATATGAAAAATTTTAAATTCTGCAATTTCAGGAAAACATTCAGAAAGGTTCTTTTGTGGTAGAAAGTAGTTTCCACTCGGGAGAAGCTCACTTTTAAACATCTCTCTTCGTGGGGACTATAGCTAGGCTGAAGAAATGTTCTTCCATTAAAACACACACAGAAGGCACAATGACCTGGAAACTTCAAAACATCTTAAGACTGGGAGTTTGTTTTTGAACACATAGGTTGGACTTTGGAGTTAGATAGACTCTTGTTCGAATCATAACTCCATCACTTGTTACCTGGGAATCTCTGCAAAAATTACCCATTCTTCTGAATTTCAGTTTCCTAACTGGTCAGTATCACTATGAGTCAGAATTGATTCGACAGCACTTAACAACAACAACAATTATAAACTGGGGATAGGAATCCGTAGAGGACAGAATAATTATGCAGATTAAATGAGGTGATGAAGGCGAAAACATCTTTCATAATGTCTGTCTCAGAGAAACAAATAGAAAAAAAAGTAATTTTGGTACAGTGCTATAGGAAAAGCATTGGACTGTAGCCAAAGGGTTGGTGGTTTAAACCCACCAGCTGCTCTTTGGAAATCCTATATAGGGTCACTATGAGTTGGACTTAAAAATATTAGTCCTATGATGGTAAATACAGCAATGTTTCTCAAAAATTTGTGCTTAATAAATGTTTATAGAATTTATTATTTAAAAAATCCATTGTTTTTGTTGAAAAAATCTAGCAAAAACACCAGAATAATGTAATAAAAATGATTAGGGATTTCAAGCCTACCAATTGTATTGAAACTTTTAATTTTCTTATGTTATTTCTTTTTCAGCATAGTGATCTGTGAACCTGTTTGGTGATGTTACCTAAAATAAACATCATTTAAAACTGGCTGAAAATGCTGAAATGGCAAATGTTTTGTCATATGTACATATACACACAGACACATAAACACATATATTTTTTAAATACATACACATTTTAAGTATTCATACAAACTATTTGTACATGCTGTAGAATATTTTATGCTGTATTTGAATGCTGTAGAATATTTTATGCTGTATTTGAATTAACTTACACATGCCATATGAAGTGATAAGAATAGTTTGTATCTACTTGAGTTTATTATAAGGACTGAAAATAAAACAATTCTGTAACTGGTAAACCTTCCTTAAATATTAAACATCACTACTGTAACAAAATAAAAGCAACAAGTAATAAACCTGTATTGTTGAAGATAGCAATGGCTTTCAAAATTTAGAGGCGTGAAGTATCCAGAAATCCACAAGGTGGCTCTCAAAGCTAGGTTTTTAAATACAATAGAGTTGCTTCATATTTCCAAAGACAGGAAGCTGACTTATGAAACCAACTTAGCTTTTCAAATACACTCATAAATTAATGATTACTATGTAGCTGGAAAAACAGGAAACTATATATCACATTTTATATAAAAGAACATTTTATAAAATAAAGACTATGAAAACATTTCAGAGTTCTAAGGGAGCTCTGGTAGCGTAGTAGTTACGAATCCGGCTGCTAATCTCAAAGTCAGAGTTCGACACTACCAGCAGTTCTGTGGGAAAGATGAGGCTTTCTGCTCCCATAAAAATGTACAGCCTCAGAAACCCTATGCAGGGTTGCTATGGGTCGGAATCAACTCTACTGCACAGCAAAAACAAACTGAAAGTGATTTAACATTCAAAACAACTGACATCAGTTTATCACACTTAGAATTTAAAATACCATCATAAGATGGTAAAATTCAGTGCAGTTGTGAGGTTAAACGCATTTTATAAGACAGTAAAACTGAAAATGCATAAGCACAACGTCTGGCAGCTAACAGACGCTTAATAAACATCAGTTAAATCTTAGGCAGTTCAAATAAAATATTTTAGAAGTTATGATCACTTTATGCCCACAAGTTTTGTGGGGTTTTTTTTTTTTTTTTCAATTTGAAAACTTATTTTCATAGCTTTAAGAATCAGCCATTTTTCTCTGTAAAGGGCCATATAATAAATTCTTTATATTTGTGTATCTTACAGTCTATGTCTGAGTCCAGGTGTGGCGCTGTAGGATTAGCACTGGCCCACAAGGTCAGTTTGAACTACTACATCAGTGGTTCAAACTTACCAGCCACTCCTCAGAAACCCTATACAGGGTCACCAAGAATTGGAACCCACTTGACAGCATTTAACAACAACAAGATTCTATGTCACATGGTATTGTCATATTGTTGTTAAGAGCCATAGAGTTGGTTCTGACTCATAGTGACCTTGTATAGGATTTCTGAGGCTTTAAATCTTCATGGTAGCAGAAAGCCTTATATTTCTCTCATGGGATGCATGGTGGGCTCGAATCCCGGACCTTGTGGAGACACATGGTATAAGGGCCAGGAATTCAACATATATTTTAGTTGGACGCATTCAATCAATAACAGGGACCCTTTGGAAGATTATTAAGTCAAAATAGGGTCAAGATTGTAACATTCTTAAAGCTGGAGATCTTGTGTCTGCCATATACAATGTATCTGGTACATCTGGTATACTATGTTCTTCATTCTTATATATTACTGCCATCTGTTCCTTACCTGTTTTTCTGCATGCCCATATTCAGGTCCTTGGGTAGGCAAAAAGCAAAGACTCTGGCCATTATTTTTTGCTCTTTCTATTAGAGACATTGCTGTCCTAACAGTGGCATTCCGAGCATGTACAAACACCATCACCTAGAAGAAAGGAAAGCAATTTTCTAAATATTCAAACTAATTAAACGAAAATTTACTACTAGCCTGGAAATCACCATACAAAAATGAGTATTAATTTCTAAGAATAAAGCTCCCAGTTTATTAGTTCTCCAACTTTGCCTTATTTTAGAAGAAAGCATACATACACACATATAAAACCCACTGCCTTTCTGAGTTGATTCAAATCAATCAAATTCAAATCAAAATCAAATCAAATCAAATCCAAATACAATAGAGTGGTGGTGATGGTAATGTGCCATGGAGTCAGTTCCAACACACAGAGATCATTTACAGGGTTTCTGAGGCTGTAAATCTTTAAGGGAGCAGAAAGCCTCACCTGTATCCTGTGGAACAGCTGGTAGTTTCGAACTGCTGACCTTGAAGTTCGCAGCCTGATTTGTAACCACAATGCTACCAGAGCTTCATATACAATAGAGTAGAATTGCTCAATAGAGTTTCTGAGGTTGCAAATCTTTATAACGGCAGACTGCCTCATCTTTCTCCTATGGAGCAGCTGGTGGGTTTGAACTGTCAACCTTTCAGTTAGCAGCCCAACACTTTACCTGCTGTACCACCAGGGCTCAAATTTATAGTATAAAAGTAGGCTAAATAAAATCAATAATGTAACTATGTATTATTTACTAGCCTATCTTCTAAAAATAAATTGGCAAAAGAACTGAAATTAGTGAATTCAATAAAGTTTAAAGTTAAATGAATGCATTTCTTTGAAAGACATGGCTCATTAGCATACTTATTTATTATACAGAGTATAAAAAACTGAGATCCTCATTTCTCCTTGGAAGATTACCACATTCAATAAAATTTCTAGTATCATAAAGATGCTTAAAGAATTCTAAACAATAAAGCACAGTGTTCTTTGGACAAAATGATATCTAAGAATAAGCAGTCGTAATAAACTGTTTTGAGAATTTCTGGAGATGAAATGCTTTTGGAGAAGTATTTGGAATTATTTTTTTGTAGTAGACCTTCCTGTGGAATACTTTAAAAACTCACTGTGGGAATCTGAATTATGGAGAGTTCCTGTAATCTGGATGCTTTCTCAAAGACAAGTGGAAACAACTACTTTTTGGAACTGTTAGCAGGCAGAATGTAAATGCAGTGGACGCTAATATAACTGGTTAGCAATTTATCTTTGCTGCCTGTCAATGCCTGTAATCTCTTCTCTGTGACAGGACGTCTTGACTGCAATCTCTTTCCCTCCTTCAGCAATCATCTCAACCCCTGCCTTCCCAAAGAGTCACTTCAACCCCAGTGCTGCAGAGTCAATTCTGACTCATAGCAATCCTATAGGGCAGGGTAGAGCTTCACCAATGTGTTTTCAAAAATAATCTTTAGGGAAGCACACTGCCACATCTTTCTACTACTGTGCAGCTGGTGATTTCGAAACCAACCAATCAAAAGTGCTCCTTATTTCTCATGACCCAATTATTTTCCACTTTGAATCTTTTGTTGTTATCATGTGTTTAAAATTAACAAAAGGAAGGTTAACTCAAGGAGCATTTTGGAAATCACTGTTGTTGTTGTTAAGTACCAGTGGAGTGGTTCCAACTCAATAGTGACCCTGTACAGGCAGTAAATCTTTATGGGAGCAGAAAGCCTCATCTTTCTCCCGTGGAGCCGCTGGTAGTTTCGAACTGCTAACCTTGAGATTGGCAGCCTGACTCGTAACCACTATGCTACCAGATCTCCTTGGAAATGATTAGGAACTATGACTTCTGATACAAATTATTTGGGACACATTTCTCTCTGGGCTTTGGGACTAGAATCTTGTGGAACACAAAATGTCCCTCTTGACTTGAGGGAGGCAGGATTAGTGGAATTCATTATATTTCTCTAAATTCTGATCCCTTGATAGATGTACACAATTTAGAGCACCTGAAAATGCAGCATGTGTGTGAACATGGACATGGAATCATTGCTCGAAACCCCATTGCTACTGAGCCAATTTTGACTCCTGAAGGAAACTTTGAAATAATGCACAGGTACCATGAAGTACACAAGGCTTATCTACCAGTAAAAAAATCCAAATGTGATATAAGCTTTATAAAATGACATCTCTGGGATGCATCATCTCATTCAGTACCCTGTTAAAACAGTAATTCACACACACCCGTTCCTTCTGTTTCAGTGACACGGGTCCCCTCATGATGGCCATATGCACTGTCAGTGGGGAAGTAATCCTAGTGGAGAAGACTGCACGTGGGCACTCTATGTCCTGAAGGCCATGAAAGGTTTAAAGAACCATTTATTCTGAAAAAAGAACTGCATTCTTTCTTGTAAATTGATTACTTTTTTCAATTTTTGGATGGTGTGAATAAAAACATCTTTAGACAACTCTATCATTTATCAGCAATATAAAACATAATCTTACGATAATCAGTTTCCTTGCCATAGATGACTTAGAGGCAAGTGTCTGTAAATCCAGCTCCCAAGCAAACAGACACTTGTAAATATTACCAAGGTATTCCTCTTAGGCCCTCAGCAACTTGGAAGTCATAATGCTAGCCTCTCTTCTCAATAATTCCCTATACTCGTCTCAAGTTTTTCTGGAAGGTAGAATTTGCTGTTATGTGACAGCTACACATTTGTAGCGTAGTGGTCACGAATCAGGTTACGAACCTCATGGTCGGCAGTTAGAAACTACCAGCCATTCTGTGGGAGAAAGATGAGGTTTTCTGCTCCCGTAAAGATTTACAGCCACCACTCATCTGTCTGTCATGCTGTGGTGGTTTGAGTTGCTATGATTCTGAGGGCTACGCCACCGGTGTTTTAAATAACCAGCAGGGTCACCCATGGTGGGCAGGTTTCAGATGAGCTACAAAACAAAGACAGACTAGGAAGAAAGAGTGACAAACTACT